TAAATATATAATATTTACCGAGTGGTAGGCAGGTTGGTGCATTACCCTCTAGGCTTTTTCTAAAGATTCCTCCTTGTGTCCCCTTCCAGCACTTGATGATCTCAAGTCCTTGCTGCTCATGTGGTGGTAGAGCTCCTCCTTGTTTTCCGTTGCTAAATTGCTCTGGTAGATACTGGTGATAGAAGATACTGGTGCTTTTTCTTAAAGCTTCTACTCTGGAGCCATTTGGGCGGTTGTTACATGCTTATGATGTGATTGCAGTGGGATAGAAAGCACTTCACAGGATTTCAAAGAGAAGGGAACAGATGAACAAGACAATTTCTGTCAAGACGTTAAGTCAGGGTAAGCTAAATTGGAAAATCACATTTTTTTTTTTTTCCTTTCCTTTTTTAATAAGTAATTTCCCATTTAGCTTACTCTGACATAGCTTTCTGGCTTGCTTAGAAAATAAACTTACTCCTGTACAGTGTAGTATTTGATTTTCCTTCTGTGGACTAACATTAAGAGATGCAGAGTAGAAAAATATTTGATGGTTAAGCAGTATTCAACCAATCCAGGTATTAAAACACCAGAACATTTTGTGTAATGTTGTTAATAACCTCTCTGGGGTTTTCCTAGAGATCTGATCTCTGTAAGCCATTCCTTTTTGGGGCAGAACCTGCTGGAGTGCAAGGGTATTTCCAGTCTGTAAAGAAACAGTGTATTTGCTTTTGTAATTAGCCTTGCTGATAGCAGTCACAGTAAAAAGTATCAGAAAACTCTACTTTTAGCCCATTTGTGAGATGATCCCTCTGGCCGATGGGAACTTCGATAGGACACTAGAAATGCTTGCAACTGTATGTCCTGGTCAAACACTGGTCGGGATGCCTGTTTGGAAAATAGTCTTCTGTTTCATGCAGAATAATGGCTCTGTTTGTTCTAGGTGTTATGCAGATGCTTACTAACATTCAAAGAAATTTTAGATGTTACTTGATGGCATAAAAACGTGTCACTTGGTCTAGCATTTCTGCACGTAACAGCTGTAATTCTGTACCTTCCCCTCCTCTGCCAACTGTGGGGAATCATTCAAGAATGATAAATCACGTCTTCAACTTCTTAAAAAATGTCCTTGATCCATCTGCCTTTTTTTTTTTTTTTTTTGTGGTTGGGTTGTATTAAAAACAGTTTCAGCATGAGGTTAGCATGTGTCGTATTTCTGAGATGTTATCTTGTCCTCTGCCACAGTTTCTGCAATCACAGATCTGGAGAGGACGCTTGAATCACTTGAAAATCTGTATGATGTTGTTGCTTCCTTACCAATGTCTGTAAAATTATGGACTTTGCTTAAAGGTTTAATTCTTTCATCCATTAACTAGTGTAACTTTTTAAGTATGCACATCAAAAGAATAAGCAATACAGTTAATATTAATATAAGACTGTCTTTTCAATGACAGTTCCCAAGGATGGTCTCAAAAGCCAAGCTGCATTTGAAGAAATGAGGGCAAATTACATTAAAGAACTAAAGAAGATGGTAACTAAATGTCCAAGTAACTCTGGGCAAAGCTGGCAGAGATTCTACCAACTGACTAAACTTCTTGACTCCATGCATGATGTAAGTATAACTCCTCAGGGAGTGCAGACAAGTTAAGCAAAAATCTCTCCATTAAGGTAAACCAGTAGTCTTTAATTGTGTTAACTAACAGGGAGAAAAAAAAAAGAAATTCTTTTTAAAGGAACATCTGAGAGAAATTGTTAGATGAACTTAAGGACAACTGCCAAGTAAAATAAGAAAATATAAGTCATTAAGGGTTGTCTCCTGCTGCCTTCTCCTATGTTAAATGGTAGTGTGTTCCTTAAGGATTCACTTAAGGTCAGCAGAGCTATTAGTGGGGTCAGAGGCTGTTCCGCATGAGAAGCGATGTTAGCTGTGACCCTGAGTTAGGCACAGCGCCAGCGCACCACGCAGAGTGTCCCGCGAGTCACGTCTCGATGAAAGGTGCCGGATTAGTGTGTCGTGCATCTAACATGCCTGTTGTGCTAATAAACGTTGAATTAATTTGGTGATCTTTTACAGCTGGGATTGTAATGATGATGACTTCAAAAGATGTATTAAGACCGCGGAGCCATCCTGGGTATTTGAAGCTTTATTTGAGCTTTTCAAGTATAAGATTCACTGTATGGTTAGGTTATTTCTACCGCCCTGTCTCATTCCAGCGCGAGGTGTTTGTTTTACATGTGTCAGGTGTGAGACGTGATGAATGACACGTGAAACTCAAAGTTTAGTCCCAAAACACCCAGGCTGTTGGTGCGTCAGCCCAGAGTGACTCTGAAGGGTTGTGGTAGGTAGTGCATGGGACCAGCTCGCAATTTCGGAGGCGCTATCCGTAACGTTGAACTGTTGAGTTGGGAGCAACCTGGTTCTAGCCAGTAGAATGGTAAGTGCAGAGATTTACCTCTCGAGACGCTTTGAACAGCAGCGGGGGCGTATCTCCGTGCTCTCCGTAACGGAGCCTGGTGTCTCCACAGAGGAAGCCGGTGACCCAGCTGTAATGGTCTCTTCAAGCGGAGGGGTTTTCCCCAGTGCCCCCTGAGAGTGCCCTGGGCACCAGCCCCTTGCCTGGGGCCAGCAGGGCTGGCGCCCGTCCTCTCTGGAGCTGCGCCGGGGTGCAGCAAGTGACGGGGGACCCGTGGGGCCGGTGGGAGCGACCCTCAGTCGCGTCTGGGTACAGGAGAGGAGGGGTCCCGTGAGCAGAGGCTGAAGCCCCGCAGCACGCGCTCATCACCTCCCAGTAAAAACTGGTAAACTGCTGCAAAGGAGAAGACTGTCCTGCTCCATCCTGGGTGGGCAGGGAAGTAACTTTGCTGCATGAAGAACCTACAGCACTTGCTTTCAGAGCCTGCATATAAATGTACTTCTTTGTACTCGACTTAAATTTCATTTTTGTAGAGACAGTACAGTACAGTGCACTTCAGGTCAAAGCTGTATAAGAGCCTGAGGTCTGTTTACAGAACGTACATATGGAATTATTTTTCAAATATTGTTCTGTTGTTCATTAAAACATTGCAAATCTTAGTGGGAGGCAGGGAGAGTATTATTAGTACTGCAGTAACAGCTCATTCTTCAGAGATCGGGTTTCGCTCGCTCCGTGCCAGCAAAGGAAGTTGTAGTGTTTCAGTGGAAAGAAAGGGGATGGGTGATAAAATCATTTGCAAGACATTCACATCTGAACCTCAGGGCAGCATAACAAACCCCTGCATTTACGGAGTTTTCTAATCCTCTTCAGAATAGGCAGTGTCTAGGTTTTGTTATTTAAATGGGTGTGTTTGTCTGGTTAAGGTGACTGGATGACAGGCTCACACTTACTGAGAATGCTACCGTGTCCTACAGACATTTTCCAAAACACAGCGTTAACCATTGGGAGCTGAACTAACCAGAGGAAGCAGACTGCTCTTGCATTTTATTTAATTTTTAATTAAGCTATTTTTACATTACTTTTGTTTTAATAGAGCGCTTTCTTACAAAGGACTTTTTAAAGGAAGTCCCATTGTCAGCATTCTCCGTTAAAAAAGGCTGGTTGTCTGCACAACAGTGCTTCCTTTCAGAGATGATACTGGAGACTTGTTCAACAAAGGCACTTGTTTATTTTTTCTCTTTAAAACTGATTTTTTGCTTTTTGGTTTTTGAAATGCATCCGAATAAATTTAGGGTGGTGATAATATTAATGAGGAGCGAGAATTACTCTTCTCCCCCCGCTGCCTGTTAGTGCAGAAATTCTCCATTCTGTCAATGTAAATGCAAATTTTCTGCTCAATTCCTTAGTATAGGAGGAACATTTTTTCAGCTGTCACCTATGTATTTTTAACTTACTCCATTATAATTTTAGAGGATCAGAATATATTTGGTGCTGAGCGGTCTAACTGGAGCTGAGGCCCCATGTTTACATGCTGCTGTAGCCACAGCATTGGCATTTGCAGCGCAAGCCCGAAGGGACTGGTGCAGAATTCATGCTTATTCAGCCCTCCTGCTGCCTCCAGCTTTTCCATCAGAGCAAAGCTGCATCTCATCATTTGTGGAGTTCGCTTTACCTGAGTGTAGCGATAAACAATTAAAAAAATACTGCTCCTTCGCACCTTCACACTTGCTTTCGTCGACCTCATTTTTAAGTAGTCTTTCTGAGGACTACGTGAAATAAAGCGCACGGGAATATCAAATTACAGTCTGCTTGGCTTATATAATACGAGGAAGAAGGTGGTTTTACATTGCTCAGTATACTAAATCATTCATCCACACAGTGAACATATGTGCAGGTAGAAAAGTGCCGAGGTGAGGAAAAAAGAAATTGTCAAGAAGGCCAGGTAGGCACTTAAGTATTTGAAAAAATCAGCAACTTTAATGATCCGTAAAGCCTCAAAGCACCAAAAGCGCAAGCGAAAAATAAGAGATCGAAACCCATCCCGAGCAGACAAGATAAACACGGTTTCGTGTGCGCACACCTGCGCTCGGCCCGAGGAGCGTGCCTGCAGGCTGCCGTCTAGTTTGTGTCGCCGCTGCCGTGCGCCGAAACGCTCGCTGTTTGCATCACGCGGGGTGGAAGCGGCGGTTGCTGATACAGCAGGCGCTGGCTGTCGGCGTCAGTCTGGTTACACGGCGCGCCCTTCCTCTCCCTCGGCAGGGGACGACGGAGAGGAGTCGGTTGTTGCCACTGACTTGCAGTTGTGCTGTGGCTCAGCCTTGCTGGTGCGGGTGGACCCCAGCGTGGGTATCTTCTGGGACCGCTGAGGGCAGCAGCGTAATCAACATCTTGCCTTCTTGTAGGGATTGTATTTCTACCGTTGTGGCTGGCATCGTTTCACGAAGCAGCGTTTTGTGTTGAGAACCGTAGCGTAGCAAGGACAACCGACCTCTCTACCCGGGACATAAAGGTTTCGGTCTTGTGCCCACGGATGGCCATGGGCATTTCGGGGAGAGATGCATATGCGGCGCTTGGACGTAGGTGAACTGCGTTATGTGGTCAGACAAACGGCATGCAGGAACATTAGAAACAGATGTACTACACATGGTATCAAAAACTTCATTTGGATCCTCCTCAACATCTCCTGTTGGCTTTGGCAGGAAGGGTTGTATCTCGCATGGCAAGCCTCATTTCGTATAGAGAGTGTAGTGTATGGTTAGGCGGTTTGCAGAACAAAAGCTGAATTTGGTTTCAATCTGGCTGATACTAAACAGACTTTGAGTTAAGAGGGCTTTTGTTTCGATGCCATGACATTAAACCCTAATGTGAACCTTCCCCTTGTCTTGGCAAGGCAGAGCACTGCACTGTCATTTGCTTGTTGATATTTTCTGCCAAACAAAAATAAATTCTTTAAGGCTCATGCTGCTGAATAATTAATTTTTTATGGTTCCTGAAGGGAATACTTTATAGCTGAGGTGGATCTTTCCATAGGCTGAGAGCGCCAGGATTACACTCACTGAAAAAGCTGACGGTGGGAAGAAGGGCACAGATCCTCGAGGGGCAGGTTTGCAAGGCACGCTGCGGTGGATGCAAATGTGCCTCTGCAGGTGCTTAATCCCACAAATACGAAGCCGCAGATGAGCCCCTCGGCTGTTGCCAACACCTTTGGGTGCACTTACTCCTGCTACTGATCTGCCAAAGTGTGTCCCACAGCTGACGAGCTGTTTGGAGCCTTGTTTTAGTCCCAGTGCCTGAATTCTCAGAGTAGGCATTTTCTCTCTTTACTCAGAGGCTAGATCCAGTCCCTACTCCCGGTGTGGCCTCTACAAAAGCAGCAGCGATGCAAGAGTGTGCATGGGTGTGTGTTGCAGCAGCTAATATGCGTCTGGCAAGTGAGAACTTGATTCCCAGCTCCCTAATGTAGACAGGGGCTACTCTGAGGGTCGTCTTGCTCAGTTTGTGATGGTTGGATCTCTTCTCCTTCACATTAATAGATGTTTGTTGGAGGAGGGCAGAACCCCGCTACTGTCGACAGAAGAGCAAGGAAGGCTTGGCTCAAAATTTACCCTGGCCAAGGGCTGAGGATGCTTCATTGGTGTGTGATGCCGTGGGTTTGCATGCATCCTCCAAGCATACAAAATGAGTTTAACTCAGGTTCCTCCACGTCATGTCCAGGTGTCAAGTGCTGTGGTTTCGGTGTGCACATGTTTATTAAGAAAACCCAAAGAAATGAGTGCAGTTCCTAAACGGGATAAATGCACCTGTCCAGGCAGAACTGGGTTCCACATTTGCTTTGGCCAGATACTGTTAGTGCCTAATCCTTATCCACCTTTTACTCGTTGCAAGCGTGAGGTAAATACACTGCATAGGTGTAATCAGAGGCTTCATCCCTTGGTACTACCTCGTTTTCCCCATGTTTGTGGGAGGTTTTACTCTTTGAGTTCGAGTCCAAGATTTCATAAGCATCTAGGAATTAGCCACTGTGGCACCAAAGGACATCTGTACCTCTGAGAATCAGCCTGCGAGCTGTCCCGGGGGAATAATTTACTTCCTGAGCCCTCAGAGTAATAATTAATTTACGCCATGCGATTTTCTCATAGGGCTGGGAGCAGAAGGGAATATAGTGGTAATGGAATAATCGAGACCTGGCTGGCAATGG